GGCTCACACAGGTTGGGAGAGACGCAGCAGCTGATGAGGGAACCAGCAGGGGGAGAGGAGCTGAGCTGGAGGGATGGCTCAGAGACACTTCCAGCGAAAACAGTGGAGAGGTTTTAGGACCTCCTGTAAGAACACCCACTCCTCGCCGGAAACTGTCACGCAGAGATTCCAGAAGACGTGTTTCCGTTAAGGAGCTTTTATGTTGGAAGCGATTACAAAGCAACCACTGTCGGAATCTGCTAGTGACTAGAGTAGCCATGTCTGAGGGGCTCTGTCACAGACAGAGGTTTGTGGACTTGAACAAACTCTGAGGGGATACGATTTTACGCACAAGCAGCTCATCATCCCATCACAGCATTCCGACAGTCTTTGAAAGCAGCTTGTGCAGGAGAAGGTATCATGAGCAACCCAGCCGGAACCGGAGAAGCAGGAGCTGGAGCGGGTCCAAGCCTGGAAGAAAGGTACCAGATGTTGGAGGTCCAGCTAGCGATGCAGACGGCGAGGCTTGAGGAGAGGAGGGCTCAGGATGCAGACAAAAGGGGGAAGCCACCCAGTTCGCCAGAAAGGTACCAGGATTGGTGCAGAAGTTTGGGGGGGAGCCCAAAAACTATCATGGTTTTCGGACAGAAATGCAATATGCCCTCAATCTGCAGTTTGATGAATTCCTGACGAGGAATCACGAGTGGCTTTCGTGATTGAGCATCTTGAAAAGGGGCGAGAGACTGGGTTAGACCCCTGATGACAGCGAATAGTGACGTCTTAAAAGACACGATGAAGTTCTTTCGCGCCATGGATCTGATGTTTTCCAGCGATATTGAAAAGGGAGTGGTGCGCAGACAGTTAATGGGTTGCAAACAGGGGAGCCGATCTGTCCGTGAGTACTGGACTGAGTTCACCATGCTTGTTCACAGATTGGGGTGGGACTTATCGGCGGAACCCATTCAAATGCTCTTGAAGAAGGGCTTTCTTCGGCTGTGAAAGACGAACTTTCCCGGGCGCCCAGGGCGGAGTCTATGGACCAGCTGACCAAATCAGCGCTGGCCATAGGAGCGCGCCAGGAGGCGAGAGCATTGGAGAGGCGGGAAGGGAAAGGGGAACGTTGGAAGGAGTTCCGCATTCCAGACATTCCAGAGCCAACTTTCCCACCGGCAGAGCCGATGGAAATCGGAACAGCAGCGCGCGCGCGCAGTTTCAAAGCCCAGTGAGGGGGCAAAGAAGGAGGGAAAAGGCGCCCGGAAATGCTATCTCTGCCAACAGCCAGGTCACTTTGCCAGAGTCTGCCCCCAGAGGAAAGAATGGCAAGGGATGGTAGGGGCTGTGGATGGAAGAGAGGAAAATATACCGGAGCAAGTAAAAGCCAACGCCTGGCTGCCACTGTCAGGGCACAGCAGCCAGGCCAAAGAGCAGTGAGAGTGCCCACGCCAGAACCTCCTAAACCCGCCCTAGTGATAGAAGTGACGCTAGAGCTGCCAAACGGACACCCTCTAAAGATAAAGGCGCTGTTGGACTCAGGCAGCTCCTGCAATTTCATGAGCAAAGAGTTTGCAGCTGAACACCAGATACAGACAATCCCTTTAAGCAGCCCCCTGCAGGTGACCACGATCGATGGCAGGGAGCTGTTGGGTGGAGAAGTCAGCTTGCAGACCGTCCCAATGATAATGAAGGTAGCAAGGCACACCGAACTGATAGCTTTTAATGTGGCCACCTTGGGAGGAGCTCCCATTATATTGGGGATGAGCTGGCTAGCGTTACATGATCCGCTGGTGGGCTGGCATCAGAGAGTGGTTTCTTTTGGTTCAGCACATTGCTTAGAACACTGCAAAGAGGGAAAGGGTTTGGCAGGGGTCCAAGCCACCCTAGCAGGGACTGAAGTAACAGAGAACGTGAAGGTACCACGACAATATGCAGATCTCCGTGACGTCTTCAGCGAAAGGGAAGCTGACCAACTACCCCGCATAGACCATTTGACTGTCAAATCAACTTACTCCCTGGAGCACAGCTCCCTGTAGGCAAGCTGTACGCCATGTCAGACAGAGAGATGCAGGAGTTAAGAGAGTTCATTGACAAGAACCTGAAGAGAGGGTTCATCAGAGAGTCCAGGGCGGTAGGGGGCAGCCCAGTGTTTTTTGTGGATAAGAAAAACACGAACAAGCCGAGGCTGGTGTGTGACTTCAGGGCCTTAAATGCAGTGTCAGAACCAGTAGCCTTCCCTATGCCCAGGATTGACGACATTTTGACAAGGGTGCGGAAGGGAAAGATTTTTACAAAGCTGGACCTAAGGGGGGCGTACAACCTGGTACGAATAAGGAAGGGGGATGAATGGAAAACCACTATGTTCACCCCTTTAGGGGCATTTGAATATTTGGTTATGCCCTTCGGCCTCCAAGCAGGCTCCGCAACCTTTCAATCGTTTATGAACCACGTCCTGGGGCCTTTGCTTTACAAGAATTGTGTGGCCTTTTTAGACGACGTGTTGGTGTATTCTGAGAATGAGGAGCAGCATGTGAGAGACGTCAGAGAAGTGTTGAGCAGGCTGCAAGCCAACCAGCTGTGGGTGAAACTGGAGAAGTGTCAGTTTCATACCAAGGAGGTGGAATTCCTGGGGTATCGCCTGTCAGACAAGGGATTGGCCATGGATCCCGGCAAGGTCCAGGCTGTGCTGGAATGGAAAGCACCCAAAACAAAGAAGGATGTGCAGAGGTTCCTAGGATTTGGGAACTTCTATCGTAAGTTCATCCGAAACTTTGCCCACCTGACGGCGCCCATTACGGACTGTCTCAGCAGTAAGAAGAAGTTCGTGTGGACTGAGGAGGCGGAGCGAGCATTTGAGGAACTAAAAGGGGCCTTCGCCTCGGAACAACAACTCCTGCATGTGGATTTACAAAAACCGATGAGAGTGGAAACTGACGCATCAGACAGAGCGATTGGGGCGGTGCTTCTGCAGCCAGGCAAGAAGGGGTCAGAGTGGAGACCGTGTGCCTTTTTTCGCGAAAGCTGAACAAATCCGAGAGGAACTACACGGTGTATGACCGAGAACTACTAGCCATTCATGAGGCGTTCCGGAGATGGAGGCACCTGCTAATTGGCGCACAACATAAGGTGCAAGTGTGCACTGACCACAAGAACCTAGAGTATTGGAGGACGGCACGAGTGCTCAACCAACGGCAAGTGAGATGGGCCCAGGAGTTCTCCAAATTTAACTTTGAGATTAGTTACGTGCCAGGCCCAGAGAACATTAGGGCGGACGCTCTCTCACGCAAACCTGAATATTTGGAGGGGAGGGGCACCCGAAGAGAGACATGTCATTCCAGAAGACCGCTGGGTGTGTGGGGCGGCATTGGTGGGACAAAGAGAACTGGTAGAGGAAACAGAGAATGATGAATACGCCCAGAATAAGCTCAGAGGTCTTAGGGGTGATGGAGAGGAACCAGGGGTTTCGAGGAAAGAAATGGAGCTTTGTATTACAAAGGGGCACTGTATATCCCTGAAGGAGAGTTAAGGGGAGGGTACTCAAGCAGTTGCACGACAGCCCTACGGCGGGGCATTTTGGACAACACAAAACCATGTGGTTGGTCACCAGGGAATTTTGGTGGCCTAAGGTGAGGGAAGATGTACGTGAGTATGTAAGAGGGTGCGAGCAATGCCAGCGAGCCAAAGGGGAAAGGCGGGCGCCGGCGGGGCTATTAGGAACCCTTACCAACCCCAGAACGACCTTGGGAGGCAGTGTCGATAGATTTTATGACTGATCTGCCGAAGTCCAAAGGGAAAACAGCCATCATGGTGGTGGTAGACCTACTAACAAAGATGTGCCACTTTGTAGCTTGCTCGCATGCAGTCACGGCGGAAGAGACAGCGAAGTTATTTGTAGAAAACATTTTTAGGTTGCACGGGGTGCCATTGAGGGTGGTCTCAGACCGAGGAAAACAATTTACTTCCAGGTTCTGGAGGAAGCTCATGAGCTTACTGCAGGTGGAGGTCAATTTTTCGACTGCCCGGCACCCTGAAACCAACGGGCAGGCGGAAAGAGCAAACGGTGTCCTCCAGCAATACCTGAGGTGTTATGTCAATGACAGAGAGAATGACTGGGTAGAAAAGTTGGCGCTGGCGGAATTTGCCTACAACAATGCCGAGAATGTGTCCACAGGGATGAGCCCCTTCTTGGCTAATTATGGGTGTCATCCCAGGGCTTTCCCAGGGGGAGAGGGGGAGAGATGGAGCGTCCCGGCAGCCGAGCATTTTGTGGAAGAAATGGAAGCAATCCATCGTCAGCTCCAACTCAACTTAGAAAGGGCGAAGGAAGAATACAAGAGGCAGGCAGACAAGAACCGAAGGGAAGGTGAAACCATAAGGGTGGGAGATAGGGTGTGGCTGTCAACCCAAGGGTTGCCGTTCAAAGGAGGTTGTAAGAAATTAAGACCCAGGAGGTTGGGTCCCTTTGAGGTCATTCAACAGGTCAACCCAGTGGCTTTCAGGCTCCGGTTACCCAACCACATGAAACTGCACCCAGTATTTCACAGGTCGTTACTGTCACCGTACGAAGGGGGACGAGAAGGGCTGGCCACTCGGGGACAGGTCGTAGAAGAAAGAGAATGCAGCAGCCATGTGGCAGAAATCCTCGACGCCAGGTGGAAGGGGGATCAGGTGGAGTATTTGGTAGCGTGGGAAGGAGAACCGGAGTCAGAAAACACTTGGGTAATGGCTGAAGATATCAATGACGAGGTATTGATAGAAACGTTCCATCAAAGGTTCCCAAGGAAACCTCAGCCTGTGGAGAGGTTCCGGAGGGAATACTTTGGGACCACTGATGAAGGGGAGGAGTTGGAAGGATTCCCGGACTCGGAAGGGGAAGGGGAGATGGACTCTGAGGAGGAGGTGTACTTCGAGACCAGGAACCGCAACAGGTTGAGAGAAGTGTTCGAGACATCGGAAGATGAAGGAAGTTCATTCCGGGGTTTTGCCTCCTCACCGCCCGTAGAGGAGGGGGTGAGAGGGGATGAAGGGGGCCCTGGAGGGGAGGTGGATGTCAGGGAACTGCCATCGGACGGAAGGGAGGTGAAAGGGCTCACACAGGTTGGGAGAGACGCAGCAGCTGAAGAGGAAACCAACAGGGAGGTGAAAGGGCTCACACAGGTGGGGAGAGCACGCAGCAGCTGAAGAGGAAACCAACAGGGAGGTGAAAGGGCTCACACAGGTTGGGAGAGACGCAGCAGCTGATGAGGGAACCAGCAGGGGGAGAGGAGCTGAGCTGGAGGGATGGCTCAGAGACACTTCCAGCGAAAACAGTGGAGAGGTTTCAGGACCTCCTGTAAGAACACCCACTCCTCGCCGGAAACTGTCACGCAGAGATTCCAGAAGACGTGTTTCCGTTAAGGAGCTTTTATGTTGGAAGCGATTACGAAAGCAACCACTGTCGGAATCTGCTAGTGACTAGAGTAGCCATGTCTGAGGGGCTCTGTCACAGACAGAGGTTTGTGGACTTGAACAAACTCTGAGGGGATACGATTTTACGCACAAGCAGCTCATCATCCCATCACATATATGTTTTCCATTTTTAAAAACTTTGTGTCAAGCTAAAAACCCTGTGCATCAAAACCGTGGTCAGTTTAGCAGTGATGCCCGAGACAAGTGACTGTCCTTGAAGGATATCAAATTACACGGTAGGCGGATTCCATTCAAGCTGCTGCAGGTGCAGAAGTCTGCTTCAGAAGCTGCCATTTGGGATCATCTGGGAAGTGCTAATAATCAGAACAGGATGGTTGAGGAAGTAAATCACATGGTACCTGAAAAAGAGAGGTCAATAGTGCAGTATTTAGCAACACTATCTAAATCAGCAATAGGGGCAAACAAAGGTATCTAAGGTAGAGCATGGAATACTTACAGACCCAGTTCAGATGTCAAGTGAAACCATGGTTTAGTATGCTGGGAATGGGCCAAAGCAAGCCTTGGGCTCACACATTCCCCCCCTCCTCCCTCTACACAAGCGGTGAAGAGTTTGGAAACTACATCCTCGTTAGGCTTAACCACAGCTTGTGCCTCACCCAAATCTGATGAACTATGCTTATTGTTGATTGGTTTGATAAGCCATCTTTAAACCATGGCTCATCCAGCTAGCTTGTTTAAACTCTTAATCTCAGGGTCGTGGGTTTGAGCCTCACACGGGGCAAAAATAATAATCCTGCATTGCTGGGGGTTAGGCAAAATGACACTTGTGGTCCCTTCCAACTCTATAATAACTCTATAACTTTAGAACGTTAACCACAGCTGAGAGTCTGGGGTGGTGTGCTAAACCAGCCTTCGCCAATCTGATTTCCTCCAGATGTTGCTGAATTCTTATGTCCCATCAACCACATGATAGTCAGGGATGATGGGACGACATCATCATCATCATCATCATCATCATAATTTATTACTTATACCCCGCCCGCCCGCCCGCCCAGCCAGGTCTCCCCAGCCACTGTGGACGGCTTCCAACAGGAGCTTAAAAATACATTAAAACATCAGTCATTAAAAACTTCCCTAAACAGGGCTGCTTTCAGATGTCTTCTAAACATCAGGTAGTTCTTTATTCCTTTGACATCTGATGGGAGGGCGTTCCACAGGACGGGAGCCACTACCGAGAAGGCCCTCTGCCTGGTTCCCTGTAACTTGGCATCTCGCAGTGAGGGAACCGCCAGAAGGCCCTCGGCGCTGGACCTCAGTGTCCGGGCAGAACGATGGGGGTGGAGACGCTCCTTCAGGTCTACTGGACCGAGGCCGTTTAGGCGGCTTTCAAGGTCAGCACCAACACTTTGAATTGTGCTCGGAAATGGACTGGGAGCCAGTGTAGGTCTTTCAAGTTCTGTGGTCTGGGCGGCCGCTCCCAGTCACCAGTCTAGCTGCCGCATTCTGGATAAGTTGTAGTGCAGGACCTCTGAAAGGGCCTCTGGTTCTCCATCCCTGTTATATACACTGCAGTAACAGCTTGTACATGAGGCTGATTGTGGATGTAACTGTGATATCAAAGGGAACAAGACAGATGCTTCTAATTGGCTTTACCCATTTTCAGTGGTTGATGTTCTTATGACTGCGACGGTCAGTCCTTCTGCATTTAAGTCAGATCATGCTGATGCTCCAGTGTCACCGTCTGTTTCAGAAGCTGCCACTTGGGGTCCTCAGGGAAGTGCTTCTTAATAAACAGAGCGGGGTGAGTAAGGAAGTAAAACTCATCGTACCTGCAAAAGGAGAAGGCGCAATAGTCTAGTATTTCATAATAATGCCTAAATCAGCACCAGGGCCAGACAGGCAAACAGAGTGGTGATCCAGAGCAGCTGGAGGGCATCTGGTTGAGGAAGCTGCTGTGTTGCAACAATCCAGCCTCCAGAATCCCCAGATTTTACACATGTAACTCCAGAACTGTTCAAAGAGGATAAATAGATGGTATCTATCCCTGCCATCAGGACACTCCATGCCCATGGCTTAATAATAAGAATAAGAATAAGAATAAGAATAAGAATAAGAATGAAATATTACTTATACCCCCACCCATCTGGCCGGGCCTCCACAGCCACTCTGCACGGAATAACACTTCAAACATTAAAAACTTCCCTAAACAGGGCTGCCTTCAGATGTCTTCTAAAAGTCAGATAGTTATTGTATTTCCTTGACATCTGATGGGAGGGCGTTCCACAGGGCGGGCGCCACTACTGAGAAGGCCTGGTTCCCTGTAACCTCACTTCTCACAGTGAGGGAACTGCCAGAAGGCCCTCAGAGCTGGACCTCAGGCTGAAGGATGGGGGTGGAGACACTCCCTCAGGTATACTGGGCCGAGGCCATTTAGGGCTTTAGAGGTCAGCACCAACACTTTGAATTGTGCTTGGAAATGTACTGGGAGCCAATGTAGGTCTTTCAGGGTCGGTGTTATATGGTCTCGGCGGCCGCTCCCAGTCACCAACCTAGCTGCAGCATTCTTATTGCACTTGCTTACATTAATCAGCCCTGCGGCCATCAAATTGCAAACTCTGACAAGTGGTCCAAGCAAAACAAAACCACCTGAAAGCAAATGAAGCTAACTGTGAGAGCCAGTGTGGTGTAGTGGTTAAGAGCGGTGGACTCGTAATCTGGGGAACCGGGTTCGCTTCCCTGCTCCTCCACCTGCAGCTGCTGGGTGACCTTGGGCTAGTCACACTTCTCTGAAGTCTCTCAGCCCCACTCACCTCACAGAGTGTTTGTTGTGGGTGAGGAAGGGAAAGGAGATTGTTGGCCGCTTTGAGACTCCTTAGGGTAGTGAGAAAGCGGGATATCAAATCCAAACTCTTCTTCTTCTGCTATCCCCTCAGTGTGTCCCACGCTCTGCCTGGTCTGCCTAACAACGTACCTGAAAGTGAACTTGCTAAAAGCAGTATTCACAGAGCCACTTCCCCAGGTGCAGTCTAAGAGATGCCACCTTCCATCAATGCGGACAGCATTCCAGGCGTGGTCGCTCTTCCCCTTTACGCTGCAGCTGCCTATCAAATACTGGCACTGTATCCCTGCAATACTGAGAGGGGAAGGAAGGTATTCAGGAACAGTGTTGCTACCAAGAGGACAAGTGGTTGCTTTCACCGCTTTGATAGGCTGGAGTGGCCGCCCTTCATTTTGCTGGATCAGAGAAAACAGCAATCAGGTTCTCCACAGATTCTCATTTGCTCCAATTTGGCAGGAAAACACAAGTTTTCCTGGGCTGAAAGAACAACAACAACATTTGGACACGGACCTGGAAAGCCAGGACCTGTGCCTATAAAGCACAGAGCAAAGGTAAGTATGGATGAGGAACTAAGTCACACAGGGAAGAGACCCATTAAATTCAAGTAATTTTTAAGTCTATGGATTCCAGTGGATCTACTCAATTCAATGCAGCCCTATATATGCAAGTTTGCTTCAGGATCATTCCTCCACTTACATGGTGGGTCATGTTCTGGAACCCCATGCACATAAGCAAACATTGTGTAAGTAGGGTAAAGGTAAAGGTAAAGGTAAAGGTAAAGGACCCCTGAAAGTTAAGTCCAGTCACAGACAACTCTGGGGTTGCGGCACTCATCTCACTTTACAGGCCGAGGGAGCCGGCGTTTGTCCGCAGACAGTTTTTCCGGGTCATGTGGCCAGCCTGACAAAGCCGCCTCTGGCGCAACAGGACACCGAAACCAGAGCAGCGCACGGAAACGCCGTTTACCTTCCCGCCGGAGCGGTACCTATTTATCTACTTGCACTTTTTGGCATGTTTTCCAACTGCTAGGTTGGCAGGAGCTGGGACCGAGCAACGGGAGCTCACCCTGTCGTGGGGATTTGAACCGCCGACCTTCTGATCGGCAAGCCCAAGAGGCTCAGTGGTTTAGACCACAGCGCCACCCGTGTCCCTGTGTAAGTAGGGAGCACACACTAAAAAAAAGCTCATTTTTTCCTGCTCTCCAGCTCTCTCTCCCCACAACACTCCTTTCAACCAGAGTTGAAGCTCTGGAGCTGGCTGGAGGACCTGTGGAAAAGCAGCAGCAGCTGCCATGCTGTGACGTGTGTCAGCTACTAGGTGGGGAGGCTGAGCAGCCTAAACAAAGCCCCACTGTGCCTCCGTTCTCTTTGGGGCTTCCTCCGCTCCCACTGAAGTCCTCTTTGGGTTCTGGCGAGGGTCTCCTCATGAGCCATGAGGACTCTCCAGATCTCTCCCGCCATTTTCTGCTTAGAATCTATTGATTTACATATTTCCGAGGGCTGTCACGTGCGAGTTGATCACGCCTAAGCATGGAGATAGCTGCCTAGGGCAAGGGGTGGGGAACCTGTGGCTCTCCAGATCTCCTATCGCTACAGCCAAGTAACAACCACTTGCCATGATGGCTGGAGCCAACAGAAGTTACCTGCACATTTCTTGAAAGAGTCGAGCATATCCACCGCAAATAGCCTTTCCTGACTGAAGGACATCAGCTGGTTTAAATGACACCTTGTCCAGGTTATAGCAGCCTTCCACATCATATTCTGTAGAAATAAAGACAGTGAGCACCCATTCTGATTTGCTTGTGGGGTGGCAACACTTTGCAACACTTTCCATCGTGTTTCTCAATATCTTTCCTGGTTGCCAAAATCTGACTGGGGGGTGGCGTGGCTTGTCTTGCAAGAGCTCCAAATGAACTTTTGATTGCACAACATCAATTTGCCCATATGTGATTGAATCGCACCTCAAAAGAGAAAGTCTGGAAGCACTCGTAAATCTGCTTTGTGTAGACCCAGGGTCTTGTTGCCAAATAAAAATGCACACTGGTGCAAGGGTTAGGAGTCGGGAGACACCTCCTCTCCTCCCGTGCTGCGACCTTTACTTTATTTTGACAAAGTAATAAGAATAAATAAATAAGAATAAAAATGTGCACCCCACCAGCGAGACCATTCCATTGTAACTATCCAACCTCCC